ATGCCAAACTTCACTCCACTCTTTACTCCTTTCTTTCCCTTGTTAACAGAAATCCTTAACGGAATGTATTTATACTCTGTGCTTTAATTAGTGTTGTTTGGTTCTCTCTGGGATTGCTGCTGCACTGTTCATGTAGATATCGTCTCAATCACTAAATTCTCTTATAAACGTTCACATGTTAAAGAATACGTGCATACTTTCCTTCTTTTTGCCCATGCTCCTCGTGGGTGGAGCCTGCTGTGTCCCTCCCACAGCTCTGCTGTCTGTACAGGCAGCACAGTGGTAATATCTGGGTTCGTAAAGGAGTTTGGTGCACACAAATTGGATTTATATCCTCTGTGGCTATTGGGGAATTTTATTTAAATGAAAGTTTTTGAGCCCCGAGTTGTGCTTTAAGATTTGCAGACATTCAATGAAGACGAGGGGAACGTTTTTGGTAAGTACAACCGCAAAACGTTTCCCAGCACACTCACCAGCCAGCATGCAAAACAAAAATTTGTCGTACCGCTAAGGTAAAAAACAGGTTTTAGATACAAGTCTTCTGCAGAATATGTGACAGCCGCACCGCCTCGTCAAGGCTCCTCTGTGTAGTGCGGTCCTAACTCTAACCTATGCGAGCCTCCATCTTGGAACACTTGTAGCAAAAGTTTAAATTGGGTGCAGGTTTGCCAGGAGGCAGCCCAACCTCAAAGGCACAGTGACACACAAGGGACCCCGCACATCACAATGGCAGCTGAGACCTCCAGTGTGTCACTGCACCAAATCAGACAAGCAAAATAAATGGCAAACACACTCATCAACTCATAACCAGCTTTCAAGCAAGGTGCACATGGAAGGGCTTTATACAGTACAACAGCAAAAAGTTTCACAGCACACTCACCAGCCAGCATGCAAAAAACACCTGTCTAGCCGATTTTGGAAAGCTCTCCTATGTTCTGGCTAGTAGCTCAGGACTTGAAATTTTGAGCCCTGTTATAGGATATATGGGTAACACCAGTCTTTTGATCTGAGAACAGGTGCACTTAAGGGTGAGTAAGTTTGTTTGGATTTGTAATTGGTTTAGACGCTCACTTTCCAGGACTAGTCGGCTAGTTCGGCATAGGTCAGGCTGATGGCTGGCTGCATTGTGTCACTCAGCATCCTGCCTATTCCATCTGTTGTCATCGCACTTCACAGATAGACCAGAGGTGCTGTCACCCGACAGGTGACAGAAAAATCCAACGATAACAGACGGTCCTTTATTTGGTGATAAGCTCATCATTTATGATTTTTGGATTGCTCTGTATATATATATAAAAAAAAAAAATGCTTAAGCAAAAGTTGAAGAAAGAGTAAAAAGATAACTTGGCAACAAGTCAGATGTTGTCATTCCCTAACCTGCAATTAAAAAAAGACAGCTGGAAGTCATTTGTGCAAGATCTATTGTAGAGACCAGCACTGGGGGAGAATCTAGAGATTAGCCCTGTGGCCTTGCTTCTCTTGGCTCCTGGATTTAGTTCTCTTAAAAGCAAAGTCCACTTTTTATAAAAAAAATAAAATAATGCACACTTAAACAGAAGTTAATATATGTACCATAAAAGAAAAAAAATCGCTTTTTTTTTTTTGCATTGGAGCCAGTAAAGCATTGCAAGCGTGATCAGTGGATTGTAGTTTCAGTGCTCTGTCTCCTGCAGATTCTCCTTCCTGTCCATGTCCGTACCTCAGAACCGACGTTCAGTAACGGTTGGAGGAATGAATGAACTTTAAGTATGGTGATGTCGCCAAACTTGTATTCCACTGAGAACTACAAGTGCCCCAAAACGCAATACAATACCCTTTTGTTAGTAAAATATAAAAAAAAGAGTTTACAACGAGTAAATGCTGTATTTGCTGGCGTATAAGACTACTTTTTATACTTAAAAACATCCCCCCGAAAATCGGGAGTGGTCTTATACGCCGGGTATACAATGTATTCCTTTAGTTCGTTTAGGCCAAGCTGGGCCAAAACGAACATCCCTAATCTGTCAGCCCGCTGGATGTTCGGTAATAGTGTATGTACGGTAGCTTCGGATAGATACAGTAACTGAGCCAAACACGGCGAGCGATGTACACCACCTCTGCCAATCCAAGCAAGCTTTGTATTCATTAATAGAATACATTGCTCGCTATGATTGGCTCAGCGCGGTATACTGTATGTAGCTGAAGCTACCGTACATACAGTATTACCGCACATCCATCCATGATGTTTTTAAATGGTGTTGCCTCGGAAGTGGGGTAGTCTTATATGACGAGTATAGCACGAAACCTATGTTTTAAGTGGAAAGTTAGGGGGTCGTCTTATACACCCAGTCACCTTATACGCCGGCAAATACGGTAGATGCCCAACATGCCTAGGTTAAAAATTGCGTGCACACTTTAAAAGTCCCTACAGATGAGTATGGCGTTGAGGTTTGCTGTGAAAATTCTACAGACTGCATTTTTTTTAATACAGCTTCATTTATTTTTGTGTAACTGTGTTAGGGACATTCGATTGAAAGCCATGTAAATAGTTCATTGTTATGTTAGACATGTTGGTGCTGAATCGATGAGTGAAATAAATGTTACCTTTTTGCAGGCCGCTGTGCCTTCTTGCATCCATGGCGTGTTGTTCCTCACCGAGAAGGATCTCAACGTATCACTGGAGAGGCCACAAGGAGTCCAGGTAAGGAAGATTCATGTCTGGTTATGGCAGGGCTGAGCAACTACGGCCCTCCAGCTGTGCTTTAACTACAAATCCCAATATGCCGCTGCCTCTGGGAGTCATGCCTGGAGCTGTCAGTCTTGCAATGCCTCATGGAACATGTAGCTCCACAACAACTGGAGGGCTGGAGTTGCCCACCTCTGGCCTTTGTGACTTTCTTTCAGTCCTATAGTTTGGGTTCAATTTACTGACCGATAATAAGTTTAGGGGTCATCTCCCCTCAATTCATATTTTTAATTCTAGTTCCAAGCTGCATTTGCAGGCCATGGGCTGAATACACATTTGCAATATATGAATATTCTGTAGAGTAGTCTTTCTACAGTTTGTAGAATATGTAATAGATCACAAATATACCCATGCTGGATGCTTAATACTGGAGTGGTGCTTTTTTAAATCTTTCCTCAAGAAGGACCTCCCCCAAAATGATCCTTAGTGGAGGTAAGTAGGCAGTAGGGATGCACCAATACTATTAGTATTGGTGCCGATACCGAGTATTTGAGTACTCACCCAAATGCTCCCATACTTACCCCCGATACCGGAACTTCCGGTTCAGAAGGAGAGTTCCAATCAGGAAGCCGGGTGGCGGGTAATGACTCGCAGCCTGGCTTCCTGATTTGCTGGGAAGCCGGCTCCATGCTGTTTGTCCGGCTTGAAGCTGATTGGCTGGGAAGCTGCCTTCCCAGCCAATCGGCATAGAGCCGGCCAAACCACATGAAAACTGCTTCCCAGGCAATCAGAAAGCCGGTTGGCGGGTAATGATACAGCGCCTGGCTTCCTGATTTGCCCAGGAAGCCGGCTCCATGCTTGGGGAAGCATTGGCTATCGGAACTCTGACGGCTTGAGAAGGACTAACGCACGCACTCGCACGCACACACACACACTTGGGATCAGAAAGCTGCCTACTTGCATCCACTATCTACCACCCAAAACTGAATATTCCAGCGCTCCTCACCCCTACTACTACAGACGATCGTCCAGCAGGTATATGTTCTGTATTACCGCTGATACAGATTGCCTTCCTGCGTTTATTTGTCAGCATAGCAGGCAGAAACAGGATGTCTTTAAGCATCGCAGGCTGTTCTGGAATCATTCTCTGCAAGCTAAACCCACATCTCTGTTATATTCGGCAACATAGCTCTGCGCTTTGCTTAGGTGAGCGGGGCCGCCCAGCAGTAATCTGTTAATCCCGGCATTGTGTATATAGGTGGAGATTCCCCCATGAATACACACGAGTAGAACATTTTCACAGCGAATTTCATAAGCATAATGAGCTGTGACTCTTCAGCCAGAATTGTTTGTTTTAAGGCTTTCCCGGATTGTTCTGAAATTCAATCTCTCTCCATCCATAATGTCTGACTTAATTATGACAAAGCATATGGAGTCAGGGGGAGAGAAGCGTGCCTGTGTACGGCAGCCCGTGTCCCTGGAGCCGGGACAGAGGTCAGAATTACCATCGCTTTGATGCTGACCTTTTTTTATTTTCGGCGTCCACCCTCCACAAAAGCCCGGTGACGGCCCCTGACAGGCCGCTGCATCCACACCAGCTAATTTGAAGGATTTAAAAACAAAAAAATAGATCTACCTCTCGGCTCATTAGGCAGAATAACACAGAACAATGTCGGTCGCGACCTGCGACCCCTGAAAAGTTAAGCCTTGTAACTGGTGAATAACCAACACAGTTATTTCCTGCTGGATGTTGTCATTTTACTTCAGGCTGATTTCCAAGCAGATATACAAGACACAAATGAATGCAGTTCTGTGCTCATTAATACAGTTTAAATATGTTTTTTTTCAGATGCAAGCAGTGTAAGTATTTTAATTTGGTATCCGCTTCTTGCAGAGCTAAGACTTGGAGAGGGAGGTGGGGCACAAGGGGCCAGTGAGTTGAACTGAAGTGTAAGGAGCAGGCTGGAGGAGAGGGCATTGTGATAGAGAGATGAGCTCATCACTCTACCCTATTCTCCTTTCACTGTCCAGTAAAAGGGTAGGGAAGATCCAAGACCTGTAAGTGCTATAGAACTGCAGCATGGCCAAATCAGGCCCACTGCTCTGCTAGAAAGGGCTGTGCAGCAGAGCTATTTAAATATCAGGACTGGATGAACGGAAATACAAAAACATTGACAGGGAAAATGCGTCATGCGTATGTATTTCATCTATTTAGCCAAACTCCGGCCCTCCAGCTGTGGTGAAACGACAAATCCCATGATGTATCTCTCTCCGGGAGTCATGTCTGTGGCTGTGACAATCTTGCAATGCCTCATGGGATTTGTAGTTCCACCACAGCTGGAGAGCCGGAGTTTGGCTATACCTGCTCTATTTTTACACCAGTTTGCCTGTAGCTTTAGAAATCCCGGCATAATGCGCTGTGTTTAGTGTGAATGGATCCAAGCATTCACATTTTTATGAGGTGCTTTTGGAACTGCTGATCAAGTTCCTTTTTTTTTTTCCCCATCTAGTTTGATATCCTCACAACAACGAAGGCTTTGCACAAGCACATCGAGGCCTCACATCTCCCACCAAACTTTCACGGAACCTTTCCCTATTGTCACCTGGACTGGGTGTCCTTCCGAACGGTACGTAGCAAGCTCTGTCCCTCTTCTATCAGTTATTTGAGGTTTTCTCCCCAGTATGTTATATGTGAGAGAATAAATATGTGGAAAATAAGCCTTAGGCTGGGTACACACCTAGGCGTGTTGAATATGCGCGGTTCGTGTCGCGCGTTTTTACCGCGATTCGCCGTATTTCCGTGGGCTACTTGGCTGTATCCCAATGGAAACGCGAGACCAAAACGCCTCAAAGAAGTGCATGTACTTCTTTAGGCGTAGGCCGTTTTGTATCGCGTTGGGACGGGCGGAAATACGGCAAGGTGTGAACCAGACCCATTGAATACAATGGGATTTAGATGTTTGAGCGTTTTGTAGAGCGTTCGTCGAGCGTTGAACGCGCTACAAAACGTTCAGGTGTGTACCAGGCCTTAATGACCGGCCTCTTAGATGCTGTCCCAGAGATAACAACCCCAATACATAATATGTGGAAAATAAGCTTGCCTTAGGGCTTGTTCACACACATTTTCTGGTCCAGATCTGGAGACGCGGTGCTATGCATGCAGTGTGTTTTTGATGTGTTCCAGTTAAGAAAAAAAAATTAAAAAATAAAATATATAATTAATTTTTTTGACTGGAGTGGGACTGTCAGTATGTTAGCTGCAGTGCATTTTCGTTGCGTTTTTGACGCGTTCGTGCATTTCCGGACCAGACAAAATGTGACATGCAGTATTTTTTCTGTCCGGACCGGAATGGACTACGCTCGTGAGAACTGTAGCCCATAAAGCACATAGGGATACATTGGGATGCATTTTGGGTGCATGAGCGCACGGATCTGGTCTGGACAGAATCCGGACGTCGTGTGAACAAGCCCTTAATAACCGCCCTCTTCAGATACTGTCCCAGGTTGACTGAGATAACAAACCCAAAACATATGTTAAAAATAAGCCTTAATGGCCTGCGTCTTTAGATATTATTCCAGGTTGACTGAGATTTTAAAAAAACTATTCTTCCTATGAAAAATAATTGTCTTGCTATGATACCCTGATACTTGAATTTTTACTTCTTTTTGCAGAAGTTGGAGTCCCTGCAGGACAGTTGTCGTGACGCCTACACTTTTCTGCAGAGTGCCATCCAGAACTTGCAGAACAGTTCCCTACCGGAGAAGGCAGAGGTGAGGCGCCTCTAGATTTTGTTGGGCTGGAAGGGTTCTCTAGTTATGAACAGTCATGTAGTTTTTCATTTTATTCTATATGGCCAAATGTTTGTGGACACGTGACCATCGTACCTGTACGAACTTGTTGGATACACCACTGGATATTAATATGGAGTTGCACCCCCATTCCGCCCCCTTTCCACCTTGTGCCTATAACAACCTCTGCTTTTCTGGAAAGACATTCCATAAGATTTTTGAGTGTGTCTCTGGGAATTAATGGCCATTATGTCTGTATTCCATTAGGGAAGTTTCCCTTCACTTCCTGTCTGATAGCCACGGCAGGAAGTGAGAGTAAATCCCTCCAAAAAGGGGCAAATCCCTGGTGGTCATCAGAACTAGCGTTCCCATTTATTCCTGTTCTGGTGGCAACCCAAAATTTTGAATTTTCATTCACTCTTTGTAATAACGGTGACCAGGACACATGGAGATGGTCAGTGTCCCTGATTGGGACGTGGACAGCAATAAAAACCTGACAGATGTTCTAGTTCCTCTCCATTTTATCCCCCAAAAAAGTTGGCTGCACTTTAAGCTTGTTACCTTTTTAGACTGTCCAGAGGTGGCCAAAGAGAAAGATGCAGAAAATAGAAATGTTTCCAAACCGCTTTCCCTTTCAGCATAAAATGAATTGCAATCTTGCACTCAGATTATTATTATTATTATTAGTATTATACAGGATTTATATAGCGCCAACAGTTTGCGCAGCGCTTTACAATATAAGGAGGACATTACAATCACAATACAATTCAAGACAAGATGGTAAGGAGGGCCCTGCCCCCGAGGGCTTACAATCTAAAAGAGAGGGGCCAGTGATACATGAGGAGGTAGATGAAGTATTTTTAAGCCACTGGCTGTACATTTCCATGTGTCCGAAATAATTTCACTCACTTTATTTCTGGGCTCCATTGGCTTTAAAAAAATAAAACTAATAACGTAGTGGGATTCCTCCTTCTGCTTGCCATTTGAATGTATGAGCCGATGAACTTTCTGCAGTGTCTCAATGAAAACATTGGTAAACACATGACTCATTTGGGCTTCCAACAGGTCTTGCCCTGCGGTGTTCCAGCCTTCCCCTAAGTACCAATTTTATAATAGTAAAATGTGCAATATGCAAGCAACAGCACATTTTGACCACTTCTTTGCCCTCATAATTACACGGAGGAGATACAGTTTAAAACTCTACTTATAATTATTTAAGAGCAGTCTTTCTGCTCTATCAGTGTTCTTGTCCGGGGTCGCTGACTAGGGAGGTAAGACTGGTCTCGATGCCTGTAAGTTTTTGTTACAGGAGGGGAAATAACGGACCTCTGTGTTATTTGTGGCTTCACTGAGGTTCAATGTTCAATATTAATAGCCAAGTGGTATTTGGATTAAAGCGACACTAAACTCCGGAGTTAAGACCTGTAAGTGTTACTTATCTGCAGCTGAGAATAATGATGTCTCCTGCCCTGCTAGACATGGCTGTGCTGTGCGGCAGAGCTTTGTACTTCTCAGTACTAGATTGTCAAAAATATGAATGCTTTGGCAGGTAAAATCTTACTCCTGTATGTATTTCATCTGTGAGTTGCTCAGTTAGGTTTTCCTGGTTTGATGATTGCTGCATCAAGACATCATATTCACTGTAACAATCAGTGCCTACTGTATATTGGCAGTACACATGGACTGCTTATTGGTGCCAAAACTTCATCTGCTAGAACCTGAAAATGAACATCCTGTCTAGGAAATCTTCATAGACTTTTACAGGCCTGACATTTAATATTCACAGAGCGAAGGACACATTAGTCGGAGAGTGTACAGGTACGGACCCTTGTAAAGTCAGTTTCCAAACCTGCATACAGAAATTCCTGGCATGACAATCTACAGCTAAAGTATAATTCTTAAAACAAAAAAGCTTCTTCTATTATTAAAAAAATGTCTTTGAGCCCTAATCAGGTGACTGGATGGAGATGATTTGGAATTTAACATGGCATCAGGTCTCTTGACAATTTTCGCCCTTTATGTGGCAGGAGGCCTGTCTTCAGCTGACGAGGTGCGGACAGTTAATGCGAGCGGTCCTTGAGGACGCGAGGCTGGTGAAACTGCAAACTGAAGGGGGCGCTGTGCTGGCCAGGCTGAGGAAGGAGGAGACCTGTGTGATGCTGACAGACGATTACAGGTAAAATTCTGCATGCGATAATACAACAACTACGTATGTCAATTGCTAACATCTTTTCTCATTACTCGCCATAACGTTTTGGCTGAAGTTAATGGATATGATTAGCTTTAGGACAATTCTGTTGGCCTTTCCGGAATGGGGGGCATTTTCACCTTCGTCTAATACTGATTATATTGGCTGATGACCCTGAGTGTAGATTCTCCACCAGTCACACATCGATCAGAGCGATGATACATGGTGGGCATTGTATAACAACCTGTTCACAGTTCAGATTAGTCTGGTGTCACTTATCTTCCGCGCTCCAGTGCAGCAAGGCTCCCTCTCTCTCAGTGGTGCTTCTGAGTTTCTCTTGCAGCGTTCAGGTCAAAGACGTCATAGGCATTTGGATTGACTTCCCATGTACCAACCTTGCTGCCTGTTTGGGTCTGCTTGTCTGCTCTGACCTCTGACCCGTACTCTGGTTCTTGATCTCTTCCTTGTTCCAGTTTCCTCCTGTGAGGTCCGCAGTCCCGCTGCCTGGTCAGGTCCACTGTTCACCCAGTACACTCCTGCGCTGGCGCCTGCAGTCTCGCTGCTTGGACCGGTTTCACCATTCATCCATTAGGCTAATGTGGTGAGATTCGCAGTCCCACTGCCTTGTGCGGTCTTCTGCTTCCTCTAGTACCCTCCGGTTCCGTGTTCCAGCCTGCTCCAGAGTCTTAATTCCCTCTTCCTGTCTATGTCGCTGTCACTAGAACCTCCCCAGCATTTACCTCTTCAAGTTCGGGTTAGTCTATGGTAAACCTAGGGGTTGCATCCTGGGGTCAGCACACAGCAAAGTCCAAAGCTCTGTGAGATTTTATATAAAATAATTCATTATATATTTTCTAATTTTGTATTTTTTTCCAAGTTCTGACCAACATAAATACACAAGAAAATATGTACAAACCCACTATACATTCCCTTAAATCTTTTTCATGGGAGATGGCCTTTAAATCCGCCAACAGCAGATACTTTTATCTGGAACTCAAAGTGTTAAAGTGAGGAGAGGAATGGCAGCAGTCGATAAAGAAGGTGTCGGAGGAAACGAGGGGTTATCCGTCAGTAAAGCCCTGGCTCGAGTAGCATTTTTCCAGCCGCTCTCCCCTAGGATCCCCTCCCTGAGTCTGGAATCTGACTGAAGCCGCTGGAGCTGTGAAATGTTTCTCCTCCATCGCTCTGTTATCTGAGTCGGGCAGCCGCAGCAGCCAGCCGGGACTGACCCATGACTCCACAGTCCAAGAGTCCCTTTGTAGATGTGTGTAGAATCCGCCACCTGTCAGGACAGCCACTGAAATAGGATCTGTTGTCACGCTGTGATATTCAAATTATAATGACAATCGGAATAAACTGGGCAGGATGCATGATAATGCAACCACATGGTTCGGTGCTGCAGCTATAAACAAGTAAATATGTTTCCCTTCATTTCGGCCAAAAAAATGTTCCTCATCAAGTAGCGACATTTGTAAAACAAACCAGAAGACGTGTCAACTAAACTCCACTGCTGTAGATTTTAATTTTATGTGAACAGCTTACAATACAATTATTGCACATGTCATGCATTTGGGGCTTCTGTCAAAGAACATCTATAGTGAAAAATGTCTACTGGTAACTGTATGGGGATAATACCTGTAATGATATGTGATGTTATTAGCCCTGTAAGCTCATCTCTGTGAACTACAGAAAACTTGGCCCATGTGTTATGAAGACACGGATGTGTTCTGTAGTCCCAACACCATTCCTGTCCAAGGATGATAATGCTGCTCCGCCATAGATACAGTACAGTGAGTGTACAGGAAGTGTCCACACTGAAGGACTGGCATTCTATTACATGATTGTTCTGCGGGCTGAAGTATTATTAAACCTTTGGGTTTTTAAAAATATATCTACGGCTGGCAAGCAGTAGATATATGCAAAACGTTTTTTTTTAGAAAGTTACCAAATAGTTAAACTTACCTGTGTCTCCGGCACTCGCTCCCGTTTGAGGATTCTCGAGCGGCCTTGAAGGATCATGGGGCGGGCGCATGCGCAGTAGAGATCTGCGGCCAGGAGAAGAGGGACACGGTAAGTCAGTGCAAGCAGCCCGGCAGCGTGCACGCCGCACAGCCTCAGTGGGACATCATAGGAGAGGAGGACAGAGGAGTCAGCGCTGGATCAGAGACCGGCACCAGTGCTGGAGGGATTGCTGAAAACTACAGGAAAGAAGATGATCGGATCAAGAGGCATCATTTAAGGTAAGACCTTTTAAGCAGCATTGAGATGGGGAAATGTGACTTTAATGTCACTTGAAGGAAAAAAAGTGTTAACAGATTCCTCTATCTACGATAAACAACATGGCTGGACGAATCTCTTGCTGCAGTCCTTACATTCTGACCGTGGCTGACGCTGGCTATCGGAATACATGAACAGTGACTTCAGTTGATTGGCCTAAAATTTCCAGCCCGGCTCCTTCGATCAAAGTTGATTAATTGTCTTTGTTGAGCCGGCAGGGCCACTCACTGCAAGAAATTCACAGGAATCAGACAAAATTCTAACAACATGTGGCCAGCCTAAGCAGTACAGCCTGGTGTTAGACCAACCACAGCCTTTGGTTTCTATGAAGGAGCAGCAGCGCACAGATGAGGTCATCACACTGCTCCTGGTAGTCTGCTCATTGTGTTAGACTGGCAGCACGGTGCTGAGAGGTAAAACCCTGATTGGTTCAGATTGCTGACCTCCCTCTTCCAGTGCCAAGGATCAAGGGAAACCAGAATGATTCAGGTTCTTATGCTAGCTCCCAAATACTGACCAAGGATGGCCAATACTTGCCTGATCGGGCACCAGTCACTCTTGTCTTCAGCCTGTCTCTTTCGCCCCTTGCTGTGTTCTCAGTCTTTTTTTTCTCCCCCGTTCTGTCTGTCGTCACCTTGGTGTCTCTAGTGAGACATGCCATTGCCATGTGCTCACCGCCTGTGAACCTGCTCTTGTCCTGTAGCAGCGTGCTGTGTGATTGGACGGGGTTCAGCAGGGTGACATTAGGACACTAATGCCGCAGACGCCAGAAATGCTGAGTGTAAATGGGCTACGCTCTCCTCCCCTCTCCCAAACAGTCTCTGTCGGTGTGGAACGAGTCAAATATACAAAGCACAAATAATGAAATCCAGCGCAGAGATCCATTCCACAATTGTATTGCCATTATGACATTTGTTGTTGGAGGATTATGAATTGCAGTGTATGAAATGTATTCTTTATACTGATGATTGTTGAAATAAGACAACCTGCCGTATATTATTTGTGTGACCTCTCCGTGTCTGCGCTCAGGGAGGAGGTGGAAGTGGCTGCGGAACTGTATAATCGAGTGGATGAAGGCGTCCACATGCTGGTGAAACTGTCCAACAAGCGCATACAGCAGATGGAACTGGTCATCGAGTTTGAAGCATTTGAAGGAAGGTTTAAGGAGGTGAGGAAGGCTGGAATTTGTCCTGGAACAATGGAGTGTGTGAATCCAGCCAACTATGATGTTAAAAAATTCACGATTTAAAGGCAAAGTATCGGATATTTTTAGTTGGGGCATGCTTTGAATTATTATTGTTGTGTTCGCATTAAAGAGGACCTGTCGCTTTGCCCATTCAGGGCAAAGCGCCATTTTGTTTTAAAGAAGAACCTCCTAGTTGCTAACACTTAAAGTGACACTAAACTTAAGAGTTAAATCTTAGGAATACACTCAGGTACCTTTTAACTATTAACAATACCGGACCTTATTTATGTATCACTCGGCTGTAGATCCTCAAATCATCTCTGAATTGGTGCTGACACTGTCCTTCCTTCTGGAGGGGGCTACTTGTGTTCCCCATGGTCACTTTTGTGTGTTGTAGCCCTCATTCACACGAGAAACGGGCGGCACGTACACATCCGTGCTGCGTGCATGGCCGTATCGGGCCAGTCCCGGGAAGGACAGGTGCTGCGTGTGATTACACGCAGCAGCCTGTCCTTCTCTATGGGAGTACACGGCCGTACGCTGACCTGCACGTCCGTGCGGATGTCCCTGCTCGGATGCCGACAGGATGTAATCACACACAGCACCTGTCCTTCCCAGGAGCGACCCGATGCGGCCGTGCACGCAGTACGGGCCTCCTGTTTCACGTGTGAATGAGGGCTTAAAAGTAGTCACCCCTTCAAGCTCACTCCTGTGATGGACTACAATTGGCCCTCTTGACTTGAGAAAGGGGTTCATATTCCCTGAAACATCATCTTTCCACCTCCATCTACATTGGGTGTCCACTTTATAATTTGTGTTTCCTTTTTCGCTTGAAGTATTGCTGTCTGTATCAATGTCTCCACATTGTCTTTTTTTTTGGCTGAACATGCTCTTTAAATGCCCATTTTAAGAGTCAAAGTAACAATTCCACACCTGATATTTAAAGTAGTCCATCCATATTGTGATCTCTGTGTATTCACTACTCCAAATCACAGAGTTGTCTTTTGTTAATGGCATGTTCTTTGGCATTCCATCTCTTGTAGGTTAGTGGCTGGATAGAGCACGTTGGCGAGCGGGTTCTTGGTGAATGCAGTATTTTAGAAGATTCTCTGGAGGTCCTCGTTCAAACACAGAGACACTTCCAGGAGTTTGATGGCGTGGCATGTGTAAGTGACGCGGGTCGTGCCCAATAGTTGTCAGATATTGCTTAAATGACAGTCACATACTGTGCACATAAATATGGCTCGTTTATCATAGATGCAGAAAGTACAGTCTTTGTTGCCCACAGCAGCCAGTTTGATCTTGGGAAAGGAAAGAGTTGGATTGGTTGATAGAACAGCACAGACAGTTTGCACATGTTGACAAATGAAAGCCATCCTATTGTATCATTGCCTGTCTCTCTTCTAGGAGTACTGCAGACGCGGTCAGGAGATGCTGCAGTCAATGGAAAAGTGGCAGAGTCTTTGCTCTCAGGAGATGTACAAGTACATGGTGAAGTTACAGTCATGTAAAGAAATGTTAACAAAGTTCTCGAGGAGGTTGGAGGAATCCCGTATTCGGCTGGAGAAGGCCGTCAGACTCTATCAGTTCTTCGACAAGGTCAGTGAGGGACTTAACCGGCAGTAATAAACCAACAAACAACATTCCAAACTCCATCAAATCTCAGGCTGCAAGAAAATAAGATTCTTGTACAGGTGGTAAAATAATTTTCTCTGAGTCCATTCAGGGATAAGGGTAAGTCTTTCACATTTGGGTTATACTGCCACCTACAGGAGGAGTGGCCACCAACAAAACATGAAGGACTTCCTGTGTCTCTCAATGGGCTTCAAGGGATTTTACCGTGCATACAAAATTCCTGTTTTGGGTAACTATCAAGTTTAAGTGAAGTCACTATGTCCCATCTCACGTCTTTTATAAAAGGGTTTTCAATGCAGAAACAGACTCTGAGAAGGAAATGTGTGTGTCTGAGCAAACAAAAAAATCAGTACAAATCCATTGAGCTCTGCCCTTGCTGCCGTGAGCTCTGCCCTTGCTGCCGTGAGCTCTGCCCTTGCTGCCGTGAGCTCTGCCCTTGCTGCCGTGAGCTTTGCCGCCCTGGGCCTTGCCCTTGCTGCCGTGAGCTCTGCCCTTGCTGCCGTGAGCTCTGCCCTTGCTGCGGTGAGCTCCGCTCTTGCTGCGGTGAGCTCCGCTCTTGCTGTGGTGAGCTCCGCTCTTGCTGTGGTGAGCTCCGCTCTTGCTGTGGTGAGCTCTGCCCTTGCTGTGGTGAGCTCCGCTCTTGCTGTGGTGAGCTCTGCCCTTGCTGTGGTGAGCTCTGCCCTTGCTGTGGTGAGCTCTGCCCTTGCTGTGGTGAGCTCTGCCCTTGCTGTGGTGAGCTCCGCTCTTGCTGTGGTGAGCTCCGCTCTTGCTGTGGTGAGCTCCGCTCTTGCTGTGGTGAGCTCTGCCCTTGCTGTAGTGAGCTCTGCCCTTGCTGTAGTGAGTTGTCAGCACAGTATCTCTGCTACACAAAAATCCCTAGCAGTAGTGCCCTGACCAGTTCTCTTCAGCTGGTCTACACAACACATACCCATCTCCTAAACATAAGGGGAGGTGTTTGTAGTCCAGCAGAAAATAATTGGCCAAGGCTGACAACACTTCTAGAGACTTTAGTGCCACAGAGGCAGCGTGTTGTCAGTTTACTATAGGAAGCAAATGAGGTCACTATATTTCTGGCAGATCAACCGTTATGTTTCAGTACTTGCAACATATTTAGGTTTCTGTATTTTTTAATTTTCTCTAGACATATGTTTGGAAGTATTGAATGATATTTTTTACATGTTTCGGATATTGCTCAGCTTCCACCCCTGGGAGGTAACAGCACTGTGTATATAAGGAAAGTATTGGGTAATAATTCATATATGGACCAGACTTGCAGGGCTGTAAAGCCAACCTTTCTCAACCAGGGTTCCTCCAGAGGTTCCTCCTTGAGCAGTGAGCAACGGTGGATTGATTTTCACAGACATCCAATCTAAGGTGACTTTACCGGGTATTCGTACTCCCCCAAATGTTCCAAAACTTACCCCCCGATGCCGGAACTTTCGGTCAGAGGGAAATTTCTTCTGACTCGCAGTGCCGTGAGGGAACATGGAGCCGGTTTCCCGGTCAATCGGCATTGAATGGCCAAACAGCATGCCGCCGGCTTCCCGGCCAATCAGGAAGCCGGGTAACCCACCTCCCGGCTTCCTGATTGGCCAGGAAGCCGGCTCAATGCTGATTGGCTGGGATGCTGGCTTCCCAATCAGCATTGAGCCGGCCAAACAGCACGGAGTCGGCTTATCGGGCAATCGAGAAGCCTGATTGCCCTTGAAGCCGGCTCCATGCTACCTGAAGTACCGGTATCAATACTTGGTATTGGCGAGGACTCGTACTCAATACCGAAAAACCGGTATCGGTGCATCCGTACTAACCACAAATCTATAAGGGCACTTCTTCAATACAGATGACCTACACTGACCACTAGTTTAGGGGATACAGCAGATTTCTTTTTCTGGCCATTATTTTTTTTTGTATCCTTTCACGATTATTGCTGAAATGAATAGTGTTATCTAATGCTGGGGAGTGTTGTAAATGATCCAACCCGGGTTATCACATACTCCAAGTATACAACATTCTTTATGCTTTTGAACTTTCTTCAACGTCTTGATGATGCAAACGTGCCATAGTTGTAGATGACATTTTAACAACATGGGTTCCCTGAGATTGTACTCGGCTGTAGAGGTGAAAAAGCCCAAAAACCAAGGAGTAGGATGGAATGTTCTCTCGAATGAACGAAATTCTAACGGTGGACGTGGTTTTCTTTCAGGAAACTCCATTAATTCCAAAATGTAATGCTGAAACCAAACAACATTTCAAACAACATTTGTGAAGTCTCTGGTGGCATTATCGAATGTTCTGATGAGATTTTTTTTTTTGGTATGAATCTTCATAAGAAGGTCTACTATGGTCAGATGCTGAGGTCATAACAAGCGTCCAAAGCTGCGTTGCTACAATGTATGGGATGAATGAACACCTAATGAGTTGTTCTACCTTTTGGCAAGAGGGGTTTATGGCACTTCATAGATTTGGTTATTTTATATTTTATTGTTCTACCCCATTCGTACTTTTATTAGAACAAGAACCCGAATTTTCATTTGCATTGCACATCCTCAGCTCTGTGTACCAGGCTGACATTGCAGAGCTCAGCCAACGGAAAGCAAATTAGCTGATTTGGTTATTAACCGTCATTCTAGCTGCAGCAACCAGGCCAGTAAAGGTGAGATGGTAAAGCACCGGTACTGACCGAAATGTGTGGGCTGCTATCACTAATCTCTGCTGGCCCAGTGTCAGACCCAGATGTATGCTTTATAAGAGGTTGACTTCACTGGCTGCTTACGTGTTCAAAGTCAGTGACTTTAAGGCCTCATTCACACGAGAAACGGCCGGCACGTACAGCTCTGTGCTGCGTACACGGCCGTAACGGGCAGCTCCCGGGAGGACAGGGGCTGCGTGTGATTAGTACGCAACCCCTGTCCTTCTTCTCTTTGGGACTACGCGGCTGTACGCCGCCCTACGCTCACTCGCCCTGCACGTCCGTGCAGGTGTCTACACTTGTACGCTGACAGAACGAATCCTGTAATCACGCGCAGCACCTGTCCTTCCCGGGAGCTGCCCGATACGGCCGTTTACGCAGCACGGAGCTGTATGTGCCGGCCGTTTCTCGTGTGAATGAGGCCTTAAGGTACTAAAGACCGTCAGCCAGGCAGTTAGCATTGTTAAAAGGCAGCCGGAAGTTACGGGCTTGGTATTTCTATACTGTTATTACTGCCCTGTGGGGCTGCAAATCCCAGCATCCCTTCTGCAACACCTGGCTGCTTCCCTTCGAATGGCAGGACTTATTCATGAGCCTTTTGTTGGGCAGCTCAGAATGAAATGCGTTACAGATGTGCGCGGCTGAGGTTTCCTGGATGAAATGCGGCTTTTCTATAATGAATAAATGACTCCAAAAATAATGTGGTGAGGATTGGGTCCTGTGACTCATGCACAGATCGCTTTCATTTCATGTAATCCTCGCTGCCTCTTGGTTTTCTCAGCCTTTCCTCTGCCCGTCTACAGCTCGTCCCCGTTTTATCGCCTTTGATGATGGGCAGCAAATGAATTCGGCACCCAAGTCTGAGAGGGAGGCCGGGGCAAAGCACCGCACGCTGCTATTCTTCAGGCACTGTGTACCCCCTGCTGGTCACTGCTGTAACTGCAGGCTGAGAATATCACGTTCATTATCTACACCAGGGGCAGACGACCCCGGCACTACAGCTGTTGTGGAACTACAAGTCCCATGAGGCACTGCAAAATCCTGACAGCCACAGGCATGACTTCCAGACACAGAAGCATGAAGGGATTTGTAGTTTCACCACAGCTGGAGTGCCAAACTCTGATCTAAAACCATCTGACATCAGTTCTCCCCACTGCTGAGGAACTACAAGTGGCAGCATATCCTGTTAAAGAATAAATCAGTCCCTATCTGTAATAAAAACATATGCAGGTCCGGGGTTCTGACCTCACCGGCGCAGTGCTTCCCTGCGCTCTGTCTCTGTTTCATTGAGCCGCTGTTGGTCATCCTGCCGTAGAGAGGGCGGTGCAGACACAAAGAAGGGAATTTATCATAGCTGGAGCAGACCAAATCTGAGGAGCTGTGCATGGCAACCAATCAGCATCTCTCTTTCATTTTCAAATCTCAACTGAACAAACTGAAGAGAGAAGCTGATTGGTTGTCCTGGGCAACTGTTCCAGATTTAGTCTGCTCCAGTTTTGATAAATTCCCCTCGCAGTCTGTCATGGTGTCAGAGCTGCTAATTTGCATATTAGGTCCCAGAGCCTGCAAACCCAATTCACACAGCGGGACATAGAGAGCTTTTCACAGTTTCTTCATTTGAGTCTGTTATCATTTACAGCAGCGTTCTTCAAAGCTCAAATCCCAGGAGATGGAAGAACTGCCCCTGCAGAGCAAGGCTTTCAATGCTCTGTTCTTGTCTAGGAAAAGGTTAAAAACCAGTCTTTTACTTATTCTATCCCTCGCTCCTCCAGCCGCCTGTGCTCTCTTCTTCCCTCTGACGCTCTGGGTTGCGGATGGGCATCCTCACTTACAATGCTGGACTGCTGTTCTTGCGTTGTACGTGATGACGTTAAAGTGCGACCAACAGACAGCTTCGGGGGGAATAAGGTAAAAATGTCTTTTAGTGTTCCCCTAGACCAGTGGTTCTCAAACTGTGGGTCGTGACCCAAAAGTGGGTCGCAATCCACAGTTGAGGGGGTCCCCACGTGCCTTATGCTGCTCTAGGTAAGAGGCTCCTCAGCCTCCTAGCGCAGCAGTATCAGTACTCCTAGATGGCGCTGCAGCGGCCGGAGAAGATCAGAGAGAGGGGAGCAGGCAGGAGTGAGGGGAGGTGAGTGCTTGATCACCACAGTGCCCACACTGGGCACCACAGAGCCTACACTGGGCACCACAGAGGCCGCACTGGATGCCATCAGAGAGTCCCACTAGTCACCTGAGAGCCCACACAGATACTAGTATTGCTGCATCCCTACAT